ATGTGTGTAACTAGCAACCCTGAGCAAGAGTGAAGGAGATCAATATCGCTAAGAATAAAATTAGCTACAACTTTCGTTCCAAAAGTTTTTTTATAACATGCTCTGTTTCCTGAGTGCTACCATGAACTACTTGAAAAGGGAACAAATTTATCCAATTTTCATATTCTTGTATTTTTCTGGAAATTTAGGTATCTAAGAGCAAAAGTGAGAGAGAGCAATACTGCTAAGAATAGAATTAACTACAGCTTTAGTTCCAAAAGTTTTTTCATAACATTCTCAGTTTCCCCAGTGTTACCATTAACTTGAAAAAGCAATAAATTCATCCAACTATCATATTATTGCATTTTTCTCTATATTTAGGCATCTGAGAGCAAAAATGAAAGAGAGCAATATTGCTAAGAATAAAATTAGCAACAACTTTCGTCCCAAAAATTCTTTTATAACATGCTCTGTTTTCCGAATGTTACCATTAACTTAAAAAAGCAACAAATTCATTCAATTTTCATATTTTCGTATCTTTCTCAATATTTATGCATCTAAGAGCAAAAGTGAAAGAGAGCAACATTGTTAAAAATAAACTTAGCTACAATTATTGTTCAAAAAGTTTTTTTATAACAAGCTCTGTTTCCCGAGTGATACCATTAACAACTTGAAAAAGCAACAAATTCATCAAATATTCATATTTTTGGAAATTTAGGCATCTAAGAGCAAAAGTGAGAGAGAGCAATATTGCTAAGAATAAAATTAGCTACAACTTTCGTTCTAAAAGTTTTTTTATAACATGCTCTGTTTTCCGAATGTTACCATATACTTGAAAAAGCAAGAAATTCATCCAATTTTCATATTTTCGTATTTTTCTCAATATTTATTCATCTAAGAGCAAAAGTGAAAGAGAGCAATATTGCTAAGAATAAAATTAGCTACAACTTTCGTTCCAAAAGTTTTTTTATAACATGCTTTGTTTTCCGAATGTTACCATTAACTTGAAAAAGCAACAAATTCATCCAATTTTCATATTTTCGTATTTTTCTCAATATTTATGCATCTAAGATCAAAAGTGAAAGAGAGCAATATTGTTAAGAATAAAATTAGCTACAACTATTGTTCAAAAAATTTTTTTAGAACATACTCTGTTTCCCGAGGGATACCATTAACTATTTGAAAAAGCAACAAATTCCTAAAATTTTCATATTCTTGCATTTATCTGGAAATTTAGGCATCTAAGAGCAAAAGTGAGAGAGAGCAATATTGCTAAGAATAAATTTAGCTACAACTTTAGTTCCAAAAGTTTTTTTATAACGTGCTCTGTTTTCCGAATGTTACCATTAACTTGAAAAAGCAACAAATTCATCCAATTTTCATATTTTCGTATTTTTCTCAATATTTATGCATCTGAGAGCAAAAGTGAAAGAGAGCAATATTGCTAAGAACAAAATTAGCTACAACTTTAGTTTCAAAAGTTTTTTTATAACATGCTCTGTTTTCCGAATATTACCATTAACTTGAAAAAACAAATTCATCAAATTTTTATATTCTTGCATTTTTCTGGAAATTCAGGCATGTAAGAGCAAAAGTGAAAGGGAGCAATATTGCTAAGAATAAAATTAGCTACAACTTTGGTTCCAAAAGTTTTCTTATAACATTGTCAGTTTCCTGAATGTTACCATTAATAACTTGAAAAAGCAACAAATTCATCAAATTTTCATATTCTTGCATTTTTCTGGAAATTTAGGCATCTAAGAGCAAAAGTGAGAGAGAGCAATATTGCTAAGAATAAAATTAGCTACAACTTTCGTTCCAAAAGTTTTTTCATAACATGCTCTGTTTCCCGAATGTTATCATTAACTTGAAAAAACAACAAATTCATCCAATTTTTATATTTTCGTATTTTTCTCAATATTTATGCATCTGAGAGCAAAAGTGAAAGAGAGCAATATTGCTAAGAACAAAATTAGCTACAACTTTAGTTTCAAAAGTTTTTTTATAACATGCTCTGTTTTCCGAATATTACCATTAACTTGAAAAAGCAACAAATTCATCCAATTTTCATATTTTCGTATTTTTCTCAATATTTATGCATCTAAGAGCAAAAGTGAAAGAGAGCAATATTGCTAAGAATAAAATTGGCAACAACTTTCGTTCTAAAAGTTTTTTTATAACATGCTCTGTATTCCGAATGTTACCATGAACTTGAAAAAGCAACAAATTCATCCAATTTTCATATTTTCGTATTTTTCTTAATATTTATGCATCTAAGAGCAAAAGTGAAAGAGAGCAATACTGCTAAGAATAAAATTACTTACAACTTTCGTTCTATAAGTTTTTCTATAACATGCTCCGTTTCCCAAGTATTACCATTAGCAACTTGAAAAAGAAACAAATTCATCCAATTTTCATATTTTTGCATTTTTCTCAATATTTATGCATCGGAGAGCAAGAGTGAGGCAGATCAATATTGCTAAGAATAAAATTAGCTACAACTTTCGTACCAAAAGTTTTTTAATAACATGCTCTGTTTCCCCAGTGTTATCACTAACTTGAAAAAGCAATAAATTCATCCAACTTTCATATTCTTGCATTTTTCTCTATGTTCAGGCATCTGAGAGCAAAAGTGAAAGAGAACAATATTGCTAAGAATAAAATTAGCTACAACTTTCGTTCCAAAAGTTTTTTTATAACATGCTTTCGTTTCCGAATGTTACCATTAACTTGAAAAAGCAACAAATTCATCCAATTTTCATATTTTCGTATATTTCTCAATATTTATTCATCTAAGAGCAAAAGTGAAAGAGAGCAATATTGCTAAGAATAAAATTAGCTACAAGTTTCGTTCCAAAACTTTTTTTATAACATGCTTTGTTTTCCGAATGTTACCATTAACTTGAAAAAGCAACAAATTCATCCAATTTTTATATTTCCGCATTTTTCTCTATATTTAGGCATCCGAGAGCAAAAGTGAAAGAGAACAATATTGCTAAGAATAAAATTAGCTACAACTTTCGTTCTAAAAGTTTTTTTATAACATGCTCTGTTTTCCGAATGTTATTACCATTAACTTGAAAAAGCAACAAATTCATCCAATTTTCATATTTTCGTATTTTTCTCAATATTTATGCATCTAAGAGCAAAAGTGAAAGAGAGCAATATTGCTAAGAATAAAATTAGCTACAACTTTCGTTCGAAAAGTTTTTTTATAACATGCTCTGTTTTCCGAATGTTACCATTAACTTGAAAAAGCAACAAATTCATCCAATTTTCATATTTTCGTATTTTTCTCAATATTTATGCATCTAAGAGCAAAAGTGAAAGAGAGTAATATTGCTAAGAATACAACTAGCTACAACTTTCATCCTATAAGTTTTTCTATAACATGCTCTCTTTTCCGAATGTTACCATTAACTTGAAAAAGCAACAAATTCATCCAATTTTCATATTTTCGTACTTTTCTCAATATTTATGCATCTAAGAGCAAAAGTGAGAGAGAGCAATATTGCTAAGAATAAAACTAGCTACAACTTTCGTCCTATAAGTTTTTCTATAACATACTCTGTTTTCCGAATGTTACCATTAACTTGAAAAAGCAACAAATTCATCCAATTTTCATATTTTGGTATTTTTCTCAATATTTATGCATCTAAGAGCAAAAGTGAAAGAGAGCAATATTGCTAAGAATAAAATTAGCTACAACTTTCATCCTATAAGTTTTTCTATAACATGCTCTGTTTTCCGAATGTTACCATTAACTTGAAAAAGCAACAAATTCATCCAATTTTCATATTTTTGCATTTTTCTGGAAATTTAGGCATCTAAGAGCAAAAGTGAAAGAGAGCAATATTGCAAAAGTGAAAGAGAGCAATATTGCTAAGAATAAAATTAGCTACAACTTTCGTTCGAAAAGTTTTTTTATAACATGTTCTGTTTTCCGAATTTTACCATTAACTTGAAAAAACAACAAATTCATCCAATTTTTATATTTTCGTATTTTTCTCAATATTTATGCATCTAAGAGCAAAAGTGAAAGAGAGCAATATTGCTAAGAATAAGATTAGCTACAACTTTCGTTCTAAAAGTTTTTTTATAACATGTTCTGTTTTCCGAGTAATACCATTAACAACTTGAAAAAGCAACAAATTCATCTAATTTTCATATTTTTACATTTTTCTCAATATTTATGCATCGGAGAGCAAGAGTGAGGCAGATCAATATTGCTAAGAATAAAATTTGCTACAATTTTCGTTTCAAAAGTTTTTTTATAACATGCTTTCTTTTCCGAATGTTACCATTAACTTGAAAAAGCAACAAATTCATCCAATTTTCATATTTTCGTATTTTTCTCAATATTTATGCATCTAAGAGCAAAAGTGAAAGAGAGCAATATTGCTAAGAATAAAATTAGCTACAACTTTCGTTCCAAAAGTTTTTTTATAACATGCTCTGTTTTCCGAATGTTACCATTAACTTGAAAAAGCAACAAATTCATCCAATTTTCATATTTTCGAATTTTTCTCAATATTTATGTATCTAAGAGCAAAAGTGAAAGAGAGCAATATTGCTAAGAATAAAATTAGCTACAACTTTCGCTGCAAACGTTTTTTTTGTAATACTTTAATGTTACTCCACACCAAATTGTTTAAGACTTCATTTTATTAATCTCACCATTAACCATTCTTACCGTGTTCACGCCATAAAATCCTTTAAAATGAATCCAAACACGACTAGTTTATCTCCAAAAACAACCAAGATATCATCGATTTTTAGATTTATTTTTAGCTTTTTTTTAACCGGAAGTGAGCGTACCTCGGTTAATTTTTTAAATAACGTTATCGTGTTTGGGCTTATGTTAAAGAATTTTTGTTAATTAATTCTTTTTTTTTTGGGTAAAATTAGTTAATAACAACATAAACAAAAAGGTTGATTTCATTTTATTTACATAATAACAAGATTTTAATAATGAAGATGGTTCAATACCTTAAAGAAAAAATTTTGGTAATAAAAAAATATATAATAATAATAATAACTTGGAATGTTGTCAATAAGTACAAATTTTTGTTACGATTACTTCACTATAATAATACTCATTTCTTTTTATCTTTTTTTTACATTATGTAACAAAAATAAATCTATCATTTTCTTTTTCACTTATCATAATTATTATATTAATTAATTAATGAACAGTTGAGATTTGAAGATATCACAGTAGAGACACTTTGCATTGCACCAATAAAAAATTTTTTATTACAAAGGTGTAAATTCTGATTTATCCTCACAATTCGCTTTTTGATTATTATTTTGAAACTTCGATATCTTTAAGGAACTCCTCCCGAAAGCGGCTCGTTTCGGAAACTCAAACTTCCTTTCTTTGCGATTTAACGACTCAATTATCTTAACAATACTCGAACTCGGCTTTTCAACCGTTTCGGGGGGTTCCTCTTTAAACACTTTTCTCTGTACGTTATCAAAACTTTTTTTTGGAATTTCTTTATTAAGTTCAGATTCGTCTTTGTTTTTGGGAACGTCTCGTAACGAGCGGAATCGATTCCTCTCAAAAGTCGGTTCATTTAAGACTTTGTTATTGTTATTTTTGTTGCTTAAATATTTTTGGGTCACCTTCGACGGGGAACAATTACTTTTTAATCCATCTAAACTCAAATTCCCCGATGGTTTTACAACAACATCCTTTTTAAATAATTCGTTAAAATCAAATTTCTCATTAACAAAGCGATTTCTTGTAAAATTTTTCGGCACTTTTCTTAAATTCACTTTTTCGCTCAATTTTAAATCGTTCGTTTTCGCGCAAATTTCCGATTTTTTTATATTTAAGTTATCTACTTTCTCAATTTCAATTTTTTTTGGTTCAACAATTACGTTTTCGACGACTTTTTGAATGATCGTCGGTTTTCCTTCGGTTATCGGCTCCAAACCGGGGCTCCTATGACCCGGATTAAGCGTTTCGGGGGTTGTACTCCCTGATGAGCTTGGACTCAAACCTCGATAGTGTTGGATATCGAAGAGAAGGTCCGAGGGGAGTGGCATTGCGACCGAAAGATGCATCGAAAGGGATTCTAACCAAATTTCCATCACCTCAAATGGTGGCCTTGAAATATTATTACTCATAAAAACATTTCTCCACACACACATATATAGAGGGATATGATTCAAAAGGAAAAATTTAATTAGATTAAGATTAAAACTTGTACTCACCGTTTATCAGGATTTAGCTCAGTACAAAGAAACGCGATTTTGTAGAAAGGTTCTGGACAAGATGTGCAAAATTTCTCTCTAAAAGCATTCTGATTCAGCCCAAAATCGTTCGAGCGGGGTAAAAAATCGGGATCGGCTTGGACTCTTCCAATAATCTAATGAATTAATAATAAATTTATAAATAAGAAAGAAAAATTATTTAAAAAAAAAATTTACTTCGCACAAAATGATGCCAAAACTAAAAATATCGACTTTTTCGTCGTATTTATTTCCTTTCATCATTTCCGGTGCCATCCAATACGGATTTCCGACCACGGTGTAGCGCTTTTTTCGTTCTTGCCTTCGAGATGATCCTAAATGGCCTTTTGGTAGTCTTCGCGCGCTGTTTGTATTCTCGGAAAGTATTCGGGCGAGGCCGAAATCGGCTACTATCACAGTTTTATCCTTAAAAGGAAAATAAACAATAAAATTATTTATGTATACAGGGGGTAGAGCTGTTACAAGTACAGGGTGTCCCAATTTCGATGTCCGCATAGGCTATCTCCGAAACTAAAAGAGATAGAAAAAAAGTAGCTTACATGTCATGATCTCGTTTTTCGAGAAAATGCTAATACCGAAAACTCCGAACAGCTATCGTCTTTTGTTTTCGTCCTATCGGCAAAAACTGAAAATTATGCGAAAACGACAATCGCGAATATCTCACTTATTATCAAAGATGGAGTATTATAAATAAAACATTATATGGGCAACTTTTTACGAAGAATTCAGTGGCGTAGGTAGAATTTTTTTCCCATCTTTTATTTTCGAGATTTGAGACATAACTTTATTTTTTTAAATGGAAACCATAGTTGGCTATGACCTAAAATAATTTGTTATTTTCTTCTGATAACAAATATATATAGTTTGTGGGGTATATTTCTTATAGTTATTGAATAATTAACAAAAATTCATTTTGTTCTATCTAAA